AGCAGCCAATGGGGGTGAGGGCTCCAGGAGGTGGGGGAGGTGGGAGACAGTGGAGCATATAATTCCTGGAATTCTTTAGTAAGAAACATTTCCTTAAATTAAAAATTATTATATTGTATATTATATTATTATGAATGATGATATATAGTTTGTTTTGAAAGTTTAAAGGAAGTCTTTAGAATTTTAGACTTTTAAATAATGTCAAAAATATAAACTGTATATATACAAAATCTCTCAAAAGTATAAATATTTATTTTACATTTTCAAAACGAACTGAAGATTTGCACGCTAGATATAACATTCCCTGGCATTGAATCTTGTGAACAGAGACGCTCGGGGTTAACAGAAGTGAATGTGAAAGTAAATTGGAGGAATGTTGGTGTCATGTGACAGAAGCAGGAAGGATCACAATGTCCATTTCCAGCCCCGACACTGAGCTATAGGTAAGGTATGGAGCCTCTTTCTGGGTCTAAGGAGGGTTCTCAGGATCTCCAGTCATTTCCAGGGACAATATCGGACTCTGAAGTCTTCCTTCTGAGTGTTTCTAGTTACTGTTCTCTGAAAAACATTTACATTGTATCTTCCTGATCACATTTATATCTATGAGGTGACACTGCGACTGAGTATGAAAGTTTTAAGTATCTGTAGATGTATATACTGTATACTGTGCAGCCGCCCTGTGTGGATCTCTATGGAGCTGAGGTTGTCCTGGTTTGGGGGGGTTCACCTGCGGCCCCTGAACACAGGAAAGATCTGCAGGTAACTCAGTATATGTAATGTTAGCAGAGCCCCCGACTGTCCCGGAATTAGAACCTCTGTCCCTCCCCCCTCCTCGGTGGTCCCTGGTTTTGCTCTGATGTTCAGATATCTATAATACATTTTATTTACATTACTGAACTAAACCTCCTCCTAACCTCTAAATGATGAACTTCCTGTTTGGAAAAGACAATATAAAGGAAACATAGCGGGTGAAAAAAATCACTTTAACCGATTAATGTTTGCATTATAATTTTTATTGTGTGCCTTAAAGAGGCGGGATGGGGGAAGGGTGCCCTTTTACTGTATACTCTGTCTATAATTGTGTCTCTCTATACCGTACCAGAAAGGTGGAAGGTATGTGCTACAGGAGATGGAAATACACTTTTAGTCAATCAATCAATAAATACAAACCAATCAATAATCTTCATGTAAATGAGTGTAGATGGGAGGATGATGGCCAAGTTGTTACCATGTGTGTATTCTATTTCTGCAGAATCACTATGTCGGTCGGTGTCTTCTCTAGGGAGAGTCCAGAGAGCTATCGATGGCTAATAGAGTTCCTCCATACCTTCCTGTCAGAGGGGGATGTGAAATCTGTACAGATCAGCAATTATTCCCGGATCCGCCCACAGAAGTACACCTTCGCCATTTTATACCACTCGAAGACAAGAGGACGCGTCAATGTGACCGACGTCACCGACCAACTATATAATGATGAGCTGGAAGCATTGTCCAGCACCCTTGGTAAGGAAATGTATTACATAAATGAAACATTGGACTCAATTCCTTGCCATTGGCTCTTGAACTGGTAGGCAATGCCGAAATCCGGGGACGGGCTCCCGATCATGTGATCATTGGATTGGGAAATGTGCATATAATGCAGAGATTAAATTAAATATGTTTTCTATTTCCTTTTATTTTGCCCAGACATACACTTTAATTACTATTAGTAGTTAATATTGTTCAG